AATAAGAAGTGATTTTATCTGGTCTGTTCAAAGCTATGATCTGAACTACGATAAGAGTTTCTCTGAATATTTTCACGAAAACACCATAACTATTTAAACATTCATTGGATCTTTTATATTTATTAATTTTACCACGCTGAAATGCAGCTGAAAGAATATTTCTTTTGGCTTTGCATATTCTCTCTCCACATCTCTCTGCTGTGTTCTGACAGCTGTAATTTTTTCTGCACTAGGCAATGTGTTAATTTCTCTCATTATCTTATTAAAGAACCAACGCGTGCTATTGAATTTATCAACCACTTAAGGGATAGTCAAAAAGAAGAGTTGTAGTAAAACACAAAAAAAAAAATCTTTTAAAAATTGAAACAAAATTCGAACAAACTGACTGTATTGACCTTCGCAAAATTATCATCAACCAAAAGAATGTTGGTCCTAATCACTGGATCTGAAATCTGGAATGTTGGTCATTCCAAACCGGATAAATATCAACGTGCCTTAACAATTAAGAAAGAATTAAAAGACAAATTACTGACCAACAACAGGAATAGGACTGTGAGTGTGAGCAGTACAATTGTCTGTTTGCATAATTTTATTTGTTTTTGAACTTAAACTGATTAAACTTTTCACTTGGGCACAAGATTTTTAATCCCTGGCGTACAATAATGGAGCACGTGAGCATGTTCGGACCCATCACAGAGGGAAGTAATTGAAATTGCAATTATGTTCCAACCAAAAGTGGCGTGAACATATCTCGTTGCGTATAAAACCTCCTTAAATGTGAGATTCTTGTTTCTCAAAAATACTAAAATCGCTACAAATGCCACAAACAGTTTTTTTTATTAAATGCCTCATATAATAACCCAAACATCATCCCATTCGCAATCATTAATTTATCATTAACATCCACTTCTTACTATTACCCTGCCATTCTCTAAAGAAGAAAAGGCACGCTACCCCTCTTTTCATCTGCCTGCGAAAAAGTATGTCATAAATGTGTAACCTTCCTCCCTCACCTAAACTCCACAACTGAGTTTGGTACTCAGTACTAAAGCAACAAACAAAATTAACTCTCTTCCTAGGATTTCGTTCCTTGATGTTGTATTAATATTTTTCATTTCCGTAAAATTGTAATAGCTGCAGTTCTAGGACACTGATGAGTTTTTAATACGCGGAGTCCGTTTTGGATAGGTCGACGTACGCCACCGCGTTTCTACAGTTGGCCGCCCATTCGTTTCATAAAGAGTGTCCCTCGATAATTTGCAAAAAGAAGGAATGAAAGGCCACAAGGATATTTCATCTCTTTGAAATGAATAAAAAGATACTGTTCTCGTGGTTATTACTATAATTGAGTGGGTCGAATAGCCTAAATGGTGTATGCACTTGACTTCATTCCTAGGACAAAGGAAAATAATAGGATACGACTACATTAATACATAATTTTGTGTATCCCCAAAATTATGTAAGTTAAACAACGAAAGCATCACAATTTTTAAATGCACACACTTTTTTACCACAAACTTATCCACTACTAAATATCATTGAGGGAGAAAATAATTTAATTTCTAGAGTAGTAGATAATAAAACAAATGTTTTTAATGCCCACCCACATTTTTATCCCATAACATTTAAAAATATTTCAGATGAAATGCCGTATGTTGACACAGGTGAGCTGTTAATAAAATGTAAATATCTCATGTCGACGGAAACGATGTAGGCTTGAGCTGTCACAGCGGGAGAGGTGGCTCAAGCATCAACTGATGCATCAACTCAAGCATCAACTGCAGTGCCTGACCGGGAGGCCTTAGGTTCGAGAGCCGACGGATGCAAGATCAACACTAGCAAGAAAGCTTGGTCTATTTCAGTTGCTGTCTGGAGGAGAATTGTAGCAGCCGCCTGTTCTGATCGGTAGTTCTCCGTGGATTCTCCCATCAACACCAGGTGAATTCCGGAGCAGTAACAAACGGGCATCAAACCGCGCGATCTTTTCCTTCCTCTTCCTTTTCCTATCCTCACACACTGACATGCACTGCAGGAGAAAACATGTACTACACTTACGGCACTAACGACCTTAGCAGTTGATGCGCCCGGAATCACTAATAAGGCAATCAACAAACTGCCACACCATAGGACAAGAGAGAATTACATTGTATGCCTCTCACGTACAGAGTGGATGGTGTAAGGTAGAGAGAGCGTTCGCTGTGCTCTGAAAGAAGCCACTAAGGTACGGGGAAGACGGTTTCCCCCGCACTTTTTCCAGGCGCAATGCTTTCTACTTCTTTGAAACGCCCTTCCACAGCAGTTATTTCCAATTGCATGGTCTGTCACAGAACATTCAACTCCTTGCGTTCTTGGACGAAACTTGCGAGACTTTTCCGACGCCCGAAGTGGACCACTCACAAATGACAATGGCGCGAACCGAGGTGAAGTTTGTAGAGTGATATCTGAGGCAGGTTCGTGGGGTAATGGCTAGAGACTACATCTCCCGTTGCCGAGCCTTGGTTCATTGCCCGTACTCCCCGGTTCCGGTCATAGGTGGAGTTTGTGATGGGTTAAGAAACCTCTTCGCTGGTTTTCTCGTGTTTTCTCTTTTTTCACAATCCATCATTTCTCCTTTATGGTTGTCTTCGTTATAGCTATTGTCTACTCATCAAATCTCTTATGGAGTTACAATGACCTAAGCAGTCGAAGGGTCCGTGCACTATAATCTCAATACGTAAATAAATAAACAAAAGATTTCTGATTGTGAGAGTTGTTCAAAATGAACACTTGTACTTCACCAATAGTGTTAAAGTTGAACAAAATATAAACGCAACCAATTTCAAAGAAACTATCTTACTCATGGCAGAAAAACATGATGTTAAGAGGAGAAACATATATTTTCCAGAAACACCGCGGTACGTCAGAGCGTGTACATGGAAACACGCTCGTGGTTTTCTAGCAGCCGATCCTGTTCCATTACAGAGAAATTAATTACTTATTTCATGTAAACAATATTTTATTCAAAACAGAAAGTGAGCCACTGCAGGTGAGAAAAATACCAGAGCGTTTTTCATAATGATAGTCGTAAATAATTTTGTTATTTTTATCGCAGAAGTATAGATTCCCGTAAAAAGAGTGTTTTTATGTTGTATTTTTTTTCATTTTCGTCGCATCGTGTACGAGTATATCATCCGATTTTTCTGCGTATCCCAAAGCTAGAAGCATTGGTGAAAATTTGGGAGATCATTGGCACTATTTGAGAACAGCGGGTGTACTGCAATACTGATAGTCAGCTGCCGAAGCCGATGCCAAAGAAGACTCCTAGAACATGATTGTCATTATGGTCACCCCAATTCTGTAAATTGACAAATTTGAGTATTCAATCTTATTTATCCGAAAAAGATATTTTTTATTCGTTATATTTTACAAATACGGTTACCTTAATCGCTTCAGCGATATTCGGCTTACAATATTCTCGACGTCATAGAAGATAAAATATCTAGAAAGAGCAGTAACGTTTATCAACAAGTTCACATAAACATTCTTCATGGAATTGAAAATAAGATGGTATGTTATTTAAAATTTATTAATATTTTAAAAATAAATGCAATGTGGAAATAGTTTTAACTAAAACTTGCTTGAATATCTTGTTAGTGCAACAGAAACTGATATGTTTGCTGTTGATCCTATATTGCCGTCTCGCGGTGATCAATAGTCCCAATAACTGTTTACATACGTAATTGGAGAGACAATGTGTAATATTGGTGAAACAATATTGAACAGCACTCAGGTATGTTAATGAAGATAGGCTAAACCTTGCATACGTCAGAAACGACAGTGAACGCCACTCGATCACTAAATGCATTGTAAATTTTCTTAAAACTTCCACCTATAAAACGGTTGCCAAAATGTGCAATAAACGTGAAGCCGGAAGTAGCTTAATCTCGTTTAACTAACGTCCTGAGTGATGCCAAAAATCTCTTCTCTATTTTGTGTCCCGGTAGATGTTCTCTGTTTGTAATGGATACCATATTCTCTTCTTAGTTTAGACGATACACTTGGCTTACGTCTTGTAAACTCCAATACCCTGAAAGTACATTTATTCAATAGCGCAATGTCCACAATTAAATGGCGTGGATTCGCCAAAATTTTGCATTTTTTTACTATTTTTTAATTCTCAGGTATTTTGTAATATTTACATTATAGAAGTATTTTATGCTTTATTGAATTTGAACGCAGAAAGTCCTTAAAAAGTATTCAAAGAATTTCTATTTTAATGTATACAATTCATTGTATTTTATTTATACGTATATAAGATAATATATTTAGCGCTGTATACCTGACCTGTGGGCCATTGAGATCGAGGCAGTACATTTTTAAACAATATTTAGATGTGTGGCCGTCAGAGGTGTAATCTGCTAACAGCTGTAGGATGCATGGATGGATCATCACTACAACCACTTTACTTACAACCACAAGCAGCTTTTATATACGAATTTTTGTACACAGATTAGCAAAAGTTCAGTTTATTTTATCACATACCATGTATGGAGAATATTATGTAATTGTGCAATTTTTTAACAGATAAACATATTTTGTACGTCCCCGACACCTAAATAATATTTGTACTTTCTCTTATTCCACTTCTGTAGTATTTCCATAGTATCGCAATTCTGGATTGAAAAGTGCCAGTTAGAAAGGGAAAAAACTCATTTCGTGGGTCTCTGGTTCCAAAAAGCGATTTTTCCGCTTCTAAATGAAGTAAATTCATTTATGTGATGCGTATGATCAGAATCTATCTTTTGATGAACTTTGATACTGAAATGAATTACAAAAATGCAGTTAAAAATAGCAATAATATGTTGTATCACCACATAATATTTTATATTATTTAACTAATATATATATATATATATTGTTAAATAATATAATATACTAATATTGCAGAGATTTCAATTACTGTGAAATTGTAATAAAATAATTGTATTGATAATTCTTCCATTTTCTTTTTAGTGTTTCAGACGCGATGGGAAGGCGAATTCTGGCAGTTCAAAGTGTAAGTCAAAAGAACGTACTTTATTCACTCATTGTTTGTCTTGGTTGATGAAGTATTCCCAGATAAACTCCAAATTATAAAAGTCCATATTAATATATTCTTGTGTGTAATCCCAACTGTTTGCTCCCAGAAAAAGGTAATGATTTATCCGTCATACTTACTAGAGTGCATTAATTGAAAACCTACGTCAACACAACCTGGCCAAACTTAAAGTTTCGTCTTTCATGATTCTTCGGAACAGTGTTTGCTACTTTCGTATCTTTCTGGAAAATTTAACATAATCAGTACCTTCTGTTAGCAACCTGCATTATGTTCGGTGGTAACTCCTGGTGTCTTAGTGAATAATCTACATTCATTGCTCCCCTTAGCTAACATCACACGATTTTGATATTCATGGAATTTCGTGTCTCGCTTACGCCAGATGTTGACATATTCATGAATTTGATGGCACCGGGTGTAACAAACTGTAACAGTTGATACCACAGAATATCGAACGATCGAAAGTTGCATATGTCGGAAGTATTAAATTATACTATTGTACATTATTTCTATATCTGTAATTTGCTATGTTGTAATCTTACACTTTTAAAGAAAATATTGAAACATTTTGACAGTCACATGTCACTATCATTCTGGAACCCAGACAGCATCAATGAGATGGGTCAACGGCGAACCCCAGAATAAATTGCAATATTATTGAAGATGCTTTAAACATAACTAATAATAATATTTAGTAACATTAAAACCATTTTCTGAAAGCGTGTTGAAATATTTTGATTATTTGAGATAGATATTTCAAGGGCATACTTTCGATATATTTTGTACTAGCAGTCCGTTCCACAGAAACAGATCGCTTCGTTTCATTTTTAATTTACTATGTTGCTTCGATTGCAAAAATTAAATAAATGGCAGATAATGAAATGAAATTGCAACATCATGGGCCGAGAATTCAAGAGGCTTTAGAAAGGAATTGCGCATGACGATAGATTAGACTTGTTTGTAAACAACCAATAAGCGTTCAAAGACGAAGCTATATCTGAGGGTTCAACAAATCTATAATAATAATAATAATAATAATAATAATAATAATAATAATTAATAATAATGTTTTAAACCATGAAACAGTAACTCCTTGCCTAAACAAAGATTGAGGGAGGAGAGAGACAGAGAGAGGGAGAGGGAGAGAGAAATAAACAAAACTTCTCTAACACCGACGTTAATTCCGTCTCCCAATTAGTATGCAACTGTTAACGAAGTGCTATAATCATAATACCTTCTAGTCATGTAGAAAACTATTTATAACATTAAAAAGTCTTTTACAAACTAATGTTCCTTTTCCACAATGGAGGCTGCAAATGTTTACTTGCAAATAAAGAATCTATGACAATTAAAACACATTCGCTCATTCTTGCAACTAATATGAATATACAGAGACTTGATTAGATTTTCAATCACTTAATGACATTCAATTCTATTTGCGTTTTAGTTTATCAAAGATTACTTTGACATTTTTAGAACCTCTCAAATGGGGTTAAAAAGTCATTTACTTGCGCTTATATAGTATTTCATATATCTGTTTGAATTTTAAAATATAATTTTTGTCAGAGGTTTATATAAGCGTATTGTTTGTTAATTTACAATTAATCTACTTGCGTTTCTCGAAAATTTACTCTAGAATTATATTACCGTTTGTTCAATATTCTCCTTTAAATATTAAGTTCTCTATTCTATATCTCACTAACTTCTGCGTTCTTAACATACATGGAACAGATCATTTAAAGGTTAATGTTATATCAAGGATGTATTCATATTATTTCAACTGAACAATTCTGAAGGTCAAAAATTGCTTTATATAATTTTTTTATCGGGAAAATTTCGCGATAGTTCGATGTTCTATTGAAAACTTTTCAGGGGTTCACCTATCATTAGAACGTAAACAAACTCACGATATACAAATCTTGATGTTTTTTTCACATAGCTCGTGAAATAAAATACTGTAAGAAAAAATGCTAATTGAACAGTCCAGAAAGTGTGTTTGACGATTGACATTAATTTCAGTAAGTAATACTTAAAAACGTCGCATCTCCACACATTGATACTACAAACTCTGATTTGATGATATCGCAGTGGATAATACGAAAGAATATATATTTTAATTCCACAAAAACGATTTTTTGCGTTAAGACGATGTTGCATTTAATGAGCGATGTTTCTAAAACTCCTCGCACGAAGAACTAGCAATTTCTTTTTTTATTTGATCGGCAGTAGTGCTCAAGGATGTATTGAATTACGATGAGGTTTATTTAGTTACAGGATATATTAGGTTATTGAGCAAAAGTATAGAAAAGGATAATGGTATGATCCAATGTATGCATGAGTGTTCTCTGCCACCTGCAGGGCTTGTGCTTTTCGCCGAAATTAATTCCTTCTCGCTTGGTGGAGGCCCATATTGTACGTAGTTACGTCTCGGGAATCATTCGCAAATGCGTCACTCAAGTATTCTGTGTTCTCCTACGGTGTCAATCTTCTCGCTCCCTTCTTTCCCCTCTTGCTCTTCCCATTTTCTTTTCCCTTCCTCTCCCTCGTCTCTCTCTCTCCTTCTTACCCCCTCTATCAACTTTTGTCTCCCTTCTATTCCCCGTCTCTCCGCTCTTCCTGTCTCTCTCCTTTCTCCCACTCTTCCTCTCTTTTGTTCTTTCCCTTTTATTTTCCTCTTCCTTCCGTCCCACTTTCTATTTCTGTATGTACTCTCTGCTTCCACTCTCCTCTCTTCCTCTGAATTCGTAACCCCTCTCCACTCTCTGTCTCTTTTCCTCTATCTCCCTCTCCTTAACGCACTTTCGCAACATCTCTCCACTTCTGTCTCTCCCTCTCCTGCTCCCTCCTCTGTCCATCTCCTTTCCTGTATCTCATTCGCTCTCTCCATCTCTCTCCCTTCTCTCTCTGTAATCTTCGCTCTCTGCCTCCCCATATCTTGCTCTCTCTTTCTCTCTCTCTCTTTCTCTCTCTCTCCCTCTCTCTGTGTATATCTCTCGAGCACTTATGTACTTGAAAATTATGGAGGTTCACAAATCCGTAAAAGTACAAGAGCGAACAGATATTTAAAAATGCCTTATTTGATCTAAATAATACCTTAGCTATGAAAGAATTACCGCAAATGTTCTCCAGAAAATCTCATTAACGATCTCAGTTCCATCCCTTTCATTTCTTTATTCTTCCCTTTCTTTGTATTCTTCTACTTTTACTCACCAGTCTGTACATTATTTTCTCTCTCTTTCGTACTTTTTTCTCTTTTCTTCCTCTCTCCGTTTTCGATCCCCTTGTTGCTCTCGCTTTTCTTCTTTCTCACTCTCTCAATCCCCCTCTCTCCCAATCTCCCCTTCTTTCTCTCTCTCCCTTCTCTTTTCTTTCTCGCGCACATGTTTACTTTACGATTTTGGAGGATATCATTTCTGTGATATCTACAAGAGTGAACAAATATTTAAAACGAGATTTATTTAATCGAAATAATACCTTCTCTATGATAGAAAAACCGCAAAGTTTTACCGGAGAGTTTAATTAACGTTCTCAGGTACACGCATTCTTCGAAGTCTTCATCTTTCCCATTCCATCTTTCTATCCTGCTACTTTTCCTGTACTTTTTCTACAATCTTTCTTCCTCTATCCTTTCTCAATCTTTTATTTTCGCTTCCTCTCTCCTGTCTGATCTCTCTCCCTCTCTCTTCTTACCTCTCTCTATTCCCTCTTTCCCTCCCTCTCTCTATCCCCCCACTCTCTCCCTGTCTCTCCCTCACTCTATTCCACCTCTCTCTATCCCACCTCTCTCTATCCCACCTCTCTCCATCCTCTCTCTCTCCCTCTCTCCCTCTCTCTCCCTCTCTCTCTCTCTCCCTGTCCCTCTCTGTCTCTTCATTGCTCCCACGCGAATCCCATCTCACGCGGCCGCAGTCGGCGCCAACTTCCCGAACCACTCCAGGTTACTTCCTGACACTTTGAAATAGCGCGTCATAAAACTTTCAACGAGGGGCGGGTTTTTCACGGGCCGAAAACTTGAGGGCGACGCCCCAGCGCGCAGCGGCAACGGCGGCGGCGGCGGCGGCGGCGGCGGAAGCCCCGGTACGAGAGGGCAGTTGCTTGATCTAAATCTTACAAAGCCTCCGCCGCCGTCGCGTAGGGAAAATATTTCGCCGAGGCCGCGGGGAAGAGGTAGCAATCAGGGCGGAGAGAAGAGGCAGCGCGGCCACCGAGCAAATTGTTTTCCCCTCTGTTTTTTCTAATTTCCAATAAAATATGTCTGGTGGAGTGGTTCAATTTATAAATTTGGGAAGAAATAACTCAAGAAGAGTAATCGACAAAAGGGTACTTTTGGTAAAAATTAATGTTTTTTATATTGTATATTTTCAGGTATAAAATCGAATTGTATTTTTTTCTTCGTTAGATTTGAGTCAAGTAATTAAAATGTTGTCGGCGATAGTTATCTAAGTAGTGGTAATATTCGGTAAACGTGGAATTTGCTCTAGATTCTGTTTTCCACAAAGAATTATTTTAATTTTTATAATTTTTTTAACATTTTTGCTCTAATTGCTGCTGATGTTATTTTGTGCACTAGGTTCCCCAAACTCTTAGAGTTGATCACGATTAGCAGCTACATACTACATGTAGTAACTATTTGTGAACTACCATCGAACTTAATGTTTGCTGTAGATGTTCTTCTCAACAAGAATTCTGCTGCGTAGTTTGAGAATCTCTTCGTAAATCCATTACAACGACAAACGAACATCGTTAATAGTGTTAATGTACTTTGAATGTAGTACTGTTTTGAAGACCGTACTGCAAGGGAAATAATTGTTCTACGGTGAAGGTTTGTGAGATGGAAAGTAGGCATTTGGTTTTGGTCAAAACTGTGATATACAAATGCAAGTGACGCCTGTCTCATTATCACACGTCATCAAAATGCCGAACTGTCCAGAAAATTGTTCCCTGACCTTATTATCTCATTAATTTTAATTCTCGCTGAGTGCATGGTAATATCGCCAATTTTTCTTCCTAAGGTACATGTTAATGCCGCAAATCTCAAGGG